GAGAGTGTGTTATATATATATATATATATATATATATATATATATATATATATATATATATATATATATATATATATATACTATTGATATTCTAATATTATGTACAGTACAGTGACAGACTTCTGAAAAGCCCCCTTTGAGGGTTTAGGTTTTTTTTTTAGTTAAGTGTACAAACAAAACAAATCCATCAAGATATTTTAACTTTAAGCCATTAAATCACATGAAGAAACTGACTAATCTACATCTGGATGGCCTGAGGGTGAGGACATTTTCATCAACATTTAATTTTTAGGTGAACTATTCCTTTAAGTCCTGCCTCTACAAGCTTGCACTTCTGAGTGCCACACCCACATCTCAACATCCAATTAAAAATCCAACGCTTACAAATCAAGTCTCTCCCTACTTTTTTTTTTCGATAGTTTGTTACACTTGAAGGTACATTACAATACAAAAGAAAAAAACTATCAGTAGGCTACTTCTGTGTTTTATTCTTCTTCTTGTATAAAGCAAGGAAACATAAAATATACATATGCAGATACAGGCTACCTGGAATACAACAAGAAAGGGCAATGCTTCCCTACTTCAAATTCAGATTTCCAGGATTTCATTGACCATGGGAACCTGGAGTCGGTAAATAATCCAGACATTTCAGTATTAAAGTAACATAATCTGACTACACTCAGTTTTTTCTTAAAACAAGTAATAAAAGCTAACTAGTCTCAATCTATGACTTAAGAGCCTGTGACCTGAATTATTTATTTAAAAGACCCTGAGATAACAAAATAGCCCTGTTCTAGAATATTTAAATTAATATTTCCATTAAATACAAATGGAGATCTGTAAATATTCGTATGTGTGCAATACTTAAAATTTCATTCAAATATATTTTTCAGAATAATCTCCTTTATGTATATAGTTAAAGTTAAAATAAGTTAAAATTTTCCTCTTAACATTCACAGAAAATGAGTTTCAGCCTACCTATTCCTGCATTAGAGAAGTCATCCTTATCATCCTGGCATTTCTCCAGTTTCCGCTGAAGTTTGGCGAACTCGATGCGAATCACTTCTAAGTTGCTCCGGTCGTAGCTCTCCAGTTGGTCAACGATTAAACTCATATTGCGAATCTTACAAAGAAAACAAATTAGACCCATGCAAATACTACATTGGCATGATGTTTTGTGTAAGTGAAGAAAGCTTCACCTCAATGTAGAGACTCTCGAAGGCCGGTGAAGATGAGTTTAGAGATGCTTTCAGTTGTGTGACCAGAGCCTCAAACTCTCTGAGCTCAATGCGGAGGAGCTCAAACTCCAGTTTGATGTACTTGTCCGGTCCGCTCTCCAGACTCTCCACACGAGTTGTCAGGTTGGAGAGATTGCCGAGAAGAACTTCCAGCTGAACCTTCAAACTACTGATCTGAGCATATGAAAAAGAAATGATTAGAACTGCAGCAAATGAGAAAAAGGTGATAATGTAGACCTCTGCTGGTGGGTCGTGACACAAAAACATCTCAGACAGACATAAATCTGAATAATAAAAGTAACCGTGTAATCATGTATTGCAACAGCAAAATGCATAGATTTAATTGACTTCTAACAGTGAGAAGGAGAATATGTCAAAGGTCATTTGTCCAATCACAATTAAATCAGACAGATGAACATGGACAGAATGTGTGATGCACTCAAAACCATCAACAACACAGGGTCAAAGAAAACACGATGAGGATGAACATAGTCTGTGCTGTAAAGTATAGGCTTCTGAAAGCACCATGCCATCAAAATGCATTGAGTTGATTGGAAACCCAGAGGCATTTAGAAAAAAAAAATATGAAAAAGACTTGAATCACACTTCTGCTCATTACAAAAAATATTAATAATTGTGCTAAAATAACTAAAACTAAAATAATAAAAATCCAAATCTATATAGCCTACTATATTGAAAGAAAAAAAAAAACACACACACACACACACACACACAACAGAATTACTAAAACTTTAACAAAAATTAAAATCCTGGCTCAGGGATTCGATGTGGGGACCTTCTTGCTGTGAGGCAACAGTGAGACCCACCGAGCCACTGTGCTGCCTGAATTATAACTAATTCTATTATAACTACAATAGTATAATAGTAACAACACTGGCTGGGTCCAATATAAAATCCACATCCTGAGCAAAACTGCTCATCTAGGTTGTATGAACATAATATACCTTGATGATCTGGAGCTTGACCTTTACAGACAGTTGATTTGAGGTGGTCTGCATGTGCTCCACACGGTCTGCTGGGAATGAAGTGTCAGGCAGGAACACATTACAAACACACTGTCCAAACTCCCCGACGGAGCCTTCGACATGGCCAGAGCCCCACTCTTCTAGTGACTGGACGACAGGAAGGAAAACAGCATTATAGCTTTATTCTTCTTTACGTCTGAGACCGTTCAGCAATGAATCACATCTGAGATCGCGAGGTAAGAAGGACTCTTACCAGCCAGGAGTGAGCAGGAGCCACAAGCAGGAGGACAAGCAGCAGGAGATCCATCGTTTCCAAATGTTTCTCTTTCTCAGCTACAGCCTTATGTACAGCATGTTATCAGGACTAATCTGCAGCACATGTCTGTTTCTCATGTGTATTGTGGTTGATATCCAACGGATGTATGATGATGTAGCTTATGCACACAGTTCATGTTTGCTTAAGACATTTTATTGGTGGACAACATAAGATGGTGAATTATTATAACACGCAAATTCGCAATCGACCTGAGAGGAAACGTTGTTTACAAAACCTGTTAAAGGTATTAAGTGAATATTTTAATAACTTGCTATCACAATGACTGAGCTGCTGGTGTGTTCTCGACCTCTATCCATCCGTCTGTGCATCCAATCATCTGTCCATGCAAAAATAATGCATTAAACTCTTTGGGGTGTTTCAACTGACAGCGCAGTCACCCACAAAAAATAAAAAAATTAAAATTAAAATATAGCTGCAAGCAGCGATTACTGGGGTTCAGGCGCTTTAAGGCCTTTATGACATGGATGCTGTTGGATTCGAGGCCAACCCGAAATGTATGGCTGATACCAGAACATATCAGCGATGGAGAATATGCTCACACACACACACACACACACACACACACACACACACACACACACACACACACACACACACACACACACATGAAATGGTTAAATCATTATATTAACACTCATTAATCATGCTTACACACACACACACACACAAACATGCACACACATTTTGTTGTGTATATAGATATTTGAAATAAATGACAGGTAACAAAATGCTTACTACAAGTCTTTATATGTCTTTATATATAATTTTCAGGTGTCAATTTGATCATAAATAGTTGTGTAGTTATAGCCATTTTTATGATTTTTTCCTCTTATAGCGCCACCAAGTTGCCAAACTTTGCGATTTTTTACTGTGACCATTGACATTCTATCTACAATCTCAATTAGGAGTGTCAATGGTCCGCTTGAGAGATAGGTGGCGGTAATTCACTTATAAGTCTGCGATCCGCCGTAAAGCAAGAAGAAGAAGAAGACGCCTCACGCGCCAGCTGAAGAAGACGCGAAGGCACTCAGGACAGTTGGACATTGCGGTGAAAATCAGAGGTAAAAAACGATATAAATACTGTTCAGTTTCTTGCACAGACTGATTGTTTCGTGTCTTTACACATCAATGTATCGTCACGAGCCGCAGGGTTTAATTTGGTTTTGTTTGTGTATGTTTTTTTGACTCTCAAAGCCATGATTCCCATTCACCTCCATTATATGACTGACAGACTGCAACGGTTTGTGTTAAAAATCTCCGTTTGTGTTCTACTGAAGAAACAAAGTCACCTACATCTTGGATGCCCTGGGGGTAAGCAGATAAACATCACATTTTCATTTTTGGGTGAACTGTCACTTTAAGACAACGACAGACAATCCTCCATTTGAAAGCACAATCCACAGTAACATTCATCTTTGTGTTCTTATTAAGCAGGCACTTAAGTCTTTCTGAGGTTTGAACCTTCAACGATCAGTCACCAGCTTACATGTTTAACCATGAAGCCACCTCATATTACTGTAGTAGATGCAATGTCTGACTGACCCTGAGACTAAACCCTGCGGCGTATGTTCCAGTTGGGCAGATGTCGATATACCCCCACGACCCCCAGTTCATCCCATTCAGCACAGTCAGCTCTGATCTGGAAAAACATCATGGAAATGAAGTGATGCATTGCTACAGCACTGGCCTGATTGATTAAAATACTGATGAAATTAATTGATTGATCAAGAAGACACAGAAGGCTTAAGGAAAACGGGTCATATTTATACAACACAGATACATACAACAACATACAGGATGTTCTGGGCATCCAATCAAAGTAGTCAGAGGTCAAACATGACCCTATATGGATATTAAGAAATATAACTACAATTAAGATGTGTGTACGAGCATATATGTGTGTGTGTGCTTGGTTGCCGTTATCATACGTGTGTACCAGTCTGTCCGAGATCTAGTTCTCGTTTTGTCTAGGTGTGACCATGATGTGCACACAATGAAAGGAAGTTTCACAAGTGAAAGGAAGTCAAACGTGAAGCTTAAGAAATAAGAAAAGTATATAAAAATATATATTTAATTAGAATAAGAAATAAGAAAGTTAACAGTCTTCTTAAGTCATATGATGCTTTGCATGAAGAAATAAATATCCACAGAACAAACTCAGATCAGTGTTTATTAATGACCTGCATGTAAACACACTTTAGACAAACACTGACTGATCATTGAAACAGCTTTGCTTGATATTTGATTTACATTTTTTAATCTTATACAAGTTTTTAAAGAAAAATAGATTCTGTAAAGCAGAAATCGGACCTTTAAGCAAAAACAAAACAAAATTGTTTGAAGAACATGTTCATATTCAAAAGAACCTATCTGCACTATAAAGAAACATTTATGGAATGGAAAGATTTCATGGATGTTAAAGTTTCTTTATGGAACCATAAATGCCAACAAATAACCTTTATTTTTAAGAGTGTAGGATATAAATATGCCCTCGGAAAGGTAACAAAGTTTAGCATGGATGACAGTATTGTTCATAAATGTAGAGATCCTGTAGAGTTCACTGTTCATTCCCTGGAAATGCATGAAGCATAAGAGAGTTACTTTGAATGCAGTGTAAGTCGCTTTAGATCGAACCGTCTGCCACATACACTAATGTAATCAAACATCTGATGTAAAACGTTGCGATAAAGGATGAGACTTCAAGGTGCTTCTCAGAAAGAGACTTTAATGCTGATACATTAAAACAGGCCTTTCATTGCAGCAAACACATTAAAATAATTGTCCATTGGGAACAGATTTAACTTACCAATAATAATAGACTAACTAAATTAGGTGACTAAACATAATTCATACTGCATTGCAAAAATAAAAATAAAAAAATCTTCCTCAGTATTTTGGTCTTGTTCTCCAGTACAAATATCTAAACATTCATAAATCAAGATACATTTACTAATATTACTTTTTTGAGAAGCAAAAAAACAAGTCTTGTATTATGAAAAATATATCAAAATGAAGTGTTTTTGCTTAAAGAAAACAATTGCCAACTTTTTTAAGGACGTTGAATAATCATACATAAACATAATAAATCTACCTTGTTAAATAGGCAAGGCAAGGCAAGGCAAGTTTATTTGTATAGCACATTTCATACACAATGGTAATTCAAAGTGCTTTACATAAAATAAAATAAAAACAATAATCACAACAATAAAACAAGGAATTTAAAAACTTTGAAAATTATTTAAAAAAAATTTGATTTAAGAGGTTTAAAATGAATTTAAGAAAACGATTATACATATAATATAGTGCAATCAGTTCGGACATCGCACAGTGCTCATTCAATAAATGCACAGCTAAACAAATGAGTTTTGAGTCTGCATTTAAATGTGACTAATGTTTTAGCACATCTGATCTCTTCTGAAAGCTGATTCCAGCTGCGGGTGGCAAAATAACTAAAAGCACATTCCCCTTGTTTTGTGAACCCGTGGTATTTCTAACTGACTCAATCCTAATGATCTGAGTGGTCTGTTAAACAATCAGTTTCGGCTTGTTGTTTTTGGCTTGTTTCTCAGAATCAATCTCGTTTCTCAATAGATCATAATCATAATAATAAAACAAATAGTACATGCTGTAGTAAATCTACCCTGTGTGCTAAGGATGTTTAACTGGAAGACAAGACAAAAGTACAAATTATTTAAATTTACATAGTTATAATTAAAAAACAATTGGAGTTAAACCCTGCAGTTTTTGCTTAAATAAAGAAAAATTGACAACTTGTTAAAGGATGTTAAATAGTAATGCATAAAAAATAGTACATATTGTGTATATATACAGTATATATATATATTTGCCAATCAGCAGCCAGGAGCACTGAACACAAACTGTCAGTGTGCTTGGAGTGTTTTATTTGGTAAAATTCCCATAAAATGTTAAGTTGCTGCTTTGATTTAGTAATTTTGGAGAGTTCAGAGAGAAATACTAAGCATGTACCTCAACACAGAGAATATTAGCTCAACATTAAAAACAACTTTTTTGCTTTCCTGTAGTAAATATCAACTCTTGCAAGGAAAAGATCAGTTAAAATGACCATCCTGTCTTCATTTACTCAACTTCATGTCGGCCCAATCCCCGTATGATTTTCTTTCTTACGAGAGACAAATTTAACTAGAACTATTTTCACACAACTTGACTTCTGAAGTCATAGTAATTTACATGAAGAAATAAATACACTCAGCTACAGAATCAGTGTTTATCCATATGATCGTTCAAGACAATAATGCAAAACTAAATGATTGTGAAGTCAATAAACGCACATTAGACAAACACTGACTGCTCAAATGCTTCTCATTGCCAGTAAAAGCATGTGCCCTTTGAAACAACTTTGCTTGATAGCTTACATTTTTTATTATCTTTCTTGAGATTTTAAAGACAAATAAATACTGTAGAGTAGGTTCCTTAAAGGAATAGTTTATCCAAAAATGGAAATTGGTGAAAATGTGCTCACACTCAGGTCATATGAGATTAGGATGAGTTTGTTTCTTCCTCAGGTTTGTAGAAATGTAGCACTGCATCAGTGTCTCAGCAATGGATGCTCTGCAGTGAATGGGTGCCGTCAGAATGAGAGTCCAAACAGGGGCCGGTTGCATAAACTGCTTAGACTAGTCTTAAAAAGTTAGTCATGTCATTTGTTTCTTCTAGACTGGTCATAACTTTTTTAAATCAGTTACAAAAAGGTAGACTGGGCTAATTTGAATTAAAAAGTAAGACTAGTTACTTCTTGGCTAACTGCTAGTTGGTCAAACTAGTTCTTAAGACACAATCTTAACATAGTAACTATGTTTATGCAACTGGCCCCATCTGATAAAAACATCAAGCCACATATGTGTTTAGAGCTGTTTAAATGCTGCTTGATCTGTGCAGATTTCTCTCCTGATTCACACCAGAACACTGACTCACTGGATGAAGCGTTATTA